AAGGTCCTTGATGCAACAGCAAAAGAGAGGTACAAAGCATTATATGAGGTCAGAAGAAAGAACAAACGTTACCACCTGGGAAATAAGTGAGCATTCTGCATTCTGACCTGGCTGAGGCCCTGTGGTTCTTTAGTCTCTTAGTCTCGCTGAACAACACCATCTCGGAGTCAGAGGGGACCCAAGAAGTCATTTAGTCCAGCTTGTACCAGATGGAGAATACCCTCTAACTCATGACCAGCAAGTGGTCATCCAGCCTTTTCTTGAAGACCTTGGATGAGTGGGGACCTACTGGCTTCCTAAGACAGCCCATTCTACTTTGGGATGATTCTCCATTTAAGATCTCAATGGGTGAGTGGCATTTACTTCCTCTCATAGAATTCAATAAGTCACCTATTAGGGCTGCTTTAAAGGTGTTTCCTGCATTGGGTGGATTTATATGGCCTCTTAAATCCCTTCTAATGCTGTGATTCTATTATCCAATTGAATATCATCATCTTAGGAGGCTGATGCCTCCCATGAACATCCTCTATTTATTTTGTAACCTCTTTCCTTCATCCGAGTTCCACCCCTTCATTTCTAAAAGCCAGGGGAAAAAAGTTCCCCAATAGCCAGGAAACTGAGCCAAGCAGCTAAACAGGAGTGGTCCCCTCCCCTGCTATAAAACCTGGACAAAGAAACAATTTTCACTTGAGATGTGAAAGCTATTGCATCAAAGCGGGGGAAACAGCTACTTTGCATTCATACTTGTGACTTATAACTCATTGTCATTTTAGATAAAGAGATAGATAATAGATACATAGATGATAGATGAGTAGACAGATAGATGATAGATGAACAGGCAGGCAGATAGATAGATAGATAGATAGATAGATAGATAGATAGATAGATAGATAGATAGACAGACAGACAGACGGATAGATTAATTGATACAGTGCTTACTAGGTGCCAGGCAGTGTGCTAAGAGCTGTGGATACAAAATACAAGCCAAAAAAAAACCAACCCTGCCTTCAAGGAACTTACATTCTAATGAGGGAAGACAACAGATAAGAGAAGATGGAAATTGAAGTGAGGCTATCTGAATGACAACAAGGCTGGCAACTGTTGCAAAGGGGTAAAGTGTGAAGAGTGAGGAGTAGAGCTGGGAGTGAAACAATCATGGCCTGATTACCTAATAAATGGTGCTCCAGGACAAGGAATCAGTCATCAGAAGAGAAGGCTACAAGGTGGAGGCAATTCCAGGATGAGAAATTCTATCTGAAAATTATCATGTTTACACTTATATACTTCCTAAATATTTGTCCCATTCATTTCACTGTTTGGTGTTCCTCTGGAGTGGGGAGCGAGGAAGAGAAATTTGGTTCCATCATCAGAATCACAAGATCCATGAGTTGGAACAGAACTTAAAGGGCATCTATTCTAGCCTAAACCTACTTAAGATTCCCCTCTACAAACAACCCAAGTAGTTATTCCATTTCTGTTTAAAGACTTCCAGCAAGGAGAAATTCACTGAATCATAAGACAGCCCAGCCAACTTTTGGACATCTCTATTGATTAGGAGGGGCAGCTGCTATTCACTGGAATCAGGAAGACCTGAGTTCAAATCTGGCCTCAAATGCTTACTAGTTATGCAACCTTGGGCAAGTTTCTTAAGCCTGTTTGCCTCAGTTTCCTCATCTGTAAAATGAGCTGGAGAAGGAAATAGCAACACCTCTCCAGTATCTTTGCCAGTTGTTCAGTCATTTTTCAGTCCTGTCTGACTCTTCGTGATTCTATTTGGAGTTTTCTTGGCAAAGATACTAGAGTGGTTTGCAATTTGCCAAGAAAACCTCAAAAGGGGTCACAAAGAGTGACAAGACTAAAACAACTGAACAACAACAACAAAAATTGATTAGGAAGTGTTGCCTTATGTGAAGGGAAAATCGATCTCCCAGTGATTTCTGCCAGCTGCCCCGTGTTCTGTCCCCTGTGGCCAAGCAGAAGAAGCTTTTTCTGCATGTTGGTCAAACACTTGAAGACCTAAGTCTTTTCTTTTCCAGGCTAAACATTGTGCAAGTGATCCTCATCCTAATACAACATCATCTTAAGGCCTTTTACCATTCCAAATGCCCTTCTCTAACAGCCCTTCATTTTTACAAGATAAGACAATGGGATTCAATATATGGAAAAAATATTTTGCAGACCTCTCATTCAAGAATACCTCTGTTCTTATGCCCAAAGGGCTACAAAACTGTGCATTCCCTTTGATCCAGCAATACTACTACTAGGTCTGCATCCCAAAGAAATCATAAAAAAGGGAGAAGGAACCACAAGTACAAAAATATTTATAGCAGCTCTTTTTGTGGTGGCAAAGAATTGGAAATTGAGAGGATGTCCATCAATTGAGGAATGGCTGAATAAGTTGTGGTATATGAATGTAATGGAATACTACTGTTCCATAACAAATGATGAGCAGGTGAATTTCAGAAAAACCTGGAAAGACTTACATGAACTGATGCTGAGTGAAGTGAGCAGAACCAAGAGAACATTGTACACAGTAACAGCAATGTTGCGTGATGACCAACTTTGATAGACTTAGCTCGTCTCAGCAACACAATGATCTAAGACAATCTCAAAAGATTCATGAGGGAAAATTCTATCCACATCCAGAGAAAGAACTATGGAGTCTGAATGCAGATCAAAGTATAATATTTTCTTTTTTGTTTGTTTGTTTTTTCTTTCTCATGGTTTTTCCCTTTTGTTCTAATTCTTCTTTCATAACATGACTAATGTGGGAATATGTTTAATATGATTGTAGATGTATAGACTAAATCAGATTGTATGCCATCTTGGAGAGAGGTAGGGGAGGGGGGAGGAAAAAATTTGAAACTCAAAATCTTATAAAAGTGAATGTTGAAAACTAAAAATTAATTAATTGAAAAAAAAGAATGCCTCTGTCCTGTAAAGCAAGGCATATCTCAATCAATGAGTGTAAAGACTACATGGGCAAGTGCCCTTATTAAAATGCTCCGTCTTCACCACAGCACTGTGGTCTCCTTAGCTAGGCAGAAGTCCCACTGTGAGCTGCCAGACCCTCCCTAGAGAGGCTTTCAGCCTTTTACCTGATCATAGAATCATGGCCTTTTGAATTGGTAGTGACTTTAAAAGCCACTGGTCTACCATCCTTATTTTACAGATTATTTGTTATTATTAGTAGTAGTAATTGCAGTAGTATTAAAATAAACATAATAAGTTAAAATAATAAATAAGCATTTATTAACTGCTTGCAATGTGCTATCTAGATACTCTTCTAGGCACTGGGGATACAAATACTATCAGGCAGTCCCCACCCTCCAGGAGCTTATGTTCTATTGAGAGAATACAGCCTGTTCACAAGCTTCCAGAAAAGTAAATACAAGATACAGTTTAAAAAATTTATAAGGAGGGAAGAAGTAAAAACTTGGATAATCAGGAAAGTTCTCTCAAAGATCATAACATGTGAACTAAAACCTGAAGTGTTCTAGACATTACAAGAGACAGAAATGAGAAGGGAGAGTATTCCAAGCATGAAAGAACAGTCTCCAGAAAAATACAGAAGGAGTCATTGGGAAAACTAGCAAGTAACCAGTTTGGCTAGAACGGAGAGCTCCTGAGGAGTAATGTGTTATCAGCCTAGCATAAATGTGCTAAGTGCCTTACAAATATTATCTCATTTGATCTTCACGACAACCCTGGGAGGTAGTTGCTATTCCCATTTTACAGTTGAGGAAGTTGAGGCAGGCAGAGGTTAAGTGAATTATCCAGGGTAGGCACAGCTAGAAAAGGTAGGCTGGAGCTGTAGACTGTGAAGGGATTTAAATCTCCAAAAAAAAAGATGTTTGAAACTAAGGCGGTTGTGAGGTTAAGTGATTTGCCCAAGGTCACATGGATAACCAATTGCATAGACCAGTTCACCAGAGAGAGTACCCTGTACGTGTCTAGCATTTCACAAACTTCAAAATCATTCACATCCAGTATTCATTTGATTCTCACAACAACTCTATGAGTGGACAAGACCTATCATTTCCACTTAATAATGTGGCTAACTGAGGCCCACACAGTTACCATGACTTGCCCACGTAAGCCTCTATGGATATAACGCTGGCCTAAGAGTCAAGGAGATCTGAGTTCAAATTTGACCTCAATAATTTACTAGCTATGTGATTCTAGGTAATTCACTTAACCTCTGCCTGCCTCAGACTCCTCATCTGAAAGACGAGCATAGCAACTCCCTCCCCGGGTGGTTGTGAAGAACAAATAAGAGAATCTTTGTAAGCCACTTAGCATAAATATATGCTTGTTCCCTTCCTTCCTTCCAACGGTCACACTAGAGTCAAGATTGATAATAATAACTCACATTTCTCTAGTATATTAAGGTTATGTAATACTTTCTTCACCACAACCCCATTTGACAGATGAAGAAACAGGGTCAGAGAAATGAAGTGACTTGACCACTATCATGTGATTTAATGACAGACCTGGGACTAAAAATAATGGTAATACATTTAACTCTGCCATCATTCAGTTAATTAATAAACAATATGATCCTACTGTGTGCTAGGCACTATGCTCAGTACTGGAGACATAAAGTAAGACAAAAGACAGTCCCTGCTCTCAAGGGGCTCACAGCCTAATGAGGAGACAACAGGCAAACAACTATAAGCAATCAAACTATATACGAGACAAATTGGAGATGACAAATAGAAGAAAGTGATTGGAATTAAGAGGAATTGGGAAAGGTTTCCTTTAAAAGGTGGGATTTTAGCTGGGACTTGAAGGAAGCAAGGTATGAATGAAGCACAATTATTATCCCCATTTTACAGATTAAGAAGCCAAGGCACAGAGAGGTTAATGATTTATCAGTGATCATGTAGGTATCAGGAATCTAAGCTTGAACTCAAACTCAGGCATCCTGATTTCCAGTTTAACACTCTTTCCATTGCAGTAAACTGCTTCCTGGCAACTAAGGGCTGACTATTCCTTACCCAGGAATGAAGATGTTCATCATTTCCAGAAGAGTCTGGGCTGGAAAGGAAAAGAGCAGTGACAAGCCTGTGAAAGTACCCCTGAGATTACTATGTCTGTTTTCTATGAGTTACCTTACCACACAGGTGCACTAGACATAGAGTAAGCCTGTTTGCTGAAAGGAGTCAGTCAGGAGCCTGCAATGAGCCAAAGTCTTGCTCACTCCCAGATGCCTTTGCTGGTGTTCATTGGACGACCTTGCTGAGCTGCACACCCCAAACCGGCCTAAGCCAGCCTTTCGGTCAGTTGTTTCTGCAAAATATCCTGCTTCTGTATTCCTCTTATTCCTGGGAAAGACTGTCCATTCTTTTTCCCAACCCTCCCTGAACGTCCCTTTTGTGTTTTTTAGGCATAAATTTCCCCTGCCTCTCCTAGGCTGTGGGTTCCCTTGTACTTTTGTCCTGGGGTGCCTCAGCACTAGTGTCTGATTTTCCTCCTAATAAAACTTTCTGCTTCCAACTCAGTTTGGACTCCTCTGCATTTGTGCCCAGTTGACAAAACCTCATGAATCAGTAGTGTTCATTCTGACAGGCAGGCTTATAATATCCCATTTGTGGGCCCCATGACCACATCATTTCAACTCGCCCATTTCCCCGGCCCACCAAACACTAGCTCCCCAAACCCATATGTAGGTTCAGCTAAATTACTTCCTCTACACTCTTAAACTCCCTCCAACTCAGTGCTAAGACCCATCCCCAACTGCAGGAAGTGAGCCCCAGTAAGGAGACACTTTGGGCGTTGTTTCTCAGGGACATGTCCCCTCTTCTGGGCATCTTTCCTCTTTGAGGCAGTGCTGGCTGTCAGGCAAACACTGTGAAATACTTTGGACGCGTCCCTGTGTCCCATGACTAGGAATCTTTCTCTGCCATCCATCAGCCTTAATGAGATCTCAGTGTTGATGCTGAATTGATGGGGAAGTAAGAAGCAGCAAATACATTGGGGGAGGAGGAGTGGGTTGTATAATCAGGTGTATGAAAAGTCATTTAATGACATTTATGATGCTGCAAATTGCTGCAAATAGGACTAATTTACGGTAATTTAATCATCGAAGAATAACCGTGCAGGATAAAGGAACGGGTTTTTTTGTTTTAAGTTGTTATTTTTATAAAAATAAAGTTTCTAACATTCTGGTCTTGAACAAGGCATATTTCTGAAGAGAAAGAGAATGCATGTGTGCACATGCTAGTCCTGAAATAGGAACTAATGGATGAGTCTCACATACAGCGCTCTCTTCCTCTGCTCCCATTCACCCTTGTTCCTTGGGATCAAAACTACTTTCACAGAAAAAGAAAAAAAACACTACCTGAGTATGGAGCTCGTGGACTCTAATGCTGAATGATCAGCCAACAAGTTTGACAAAGTACATGTGCTGGAATCACTTCTTCACACCTAGTTAATGCAGTAGGAGCCCAACTAGCTTCATCTTCACCTTCAAGGACCCGGAAAAGACGAGAAATATTTTTTGTTATTTGTGGGAGAAAAAGAAGGGGTAAATAAAAAGAGAGGACTTTATATTTCCTAGGGTGAAAAAAGCAAACAAACAGCTATCCCCAAGCCATAGCTAAATATGTTTGCAACTAGGATAAATACCACAAAATATACCCAGGGCAAGAGGCACAAAGTATATCTTCAGATGGTAGGGCAGGGAGAGACAGGGCAGGGTAAGGGAAGAGCTTACTATAGCCCTTCACCTGGTAGCTTCTGATGTTAACTAATGATTTCTGCTAAGTAGATGCTAAGCTGTTATTTTTAGCTGTTACAGGGCTATAATTGATATTTTTGTTGTTCAGTTTTAATCATGTCAACTCTTCATGACTCCATGTTGGGGTTTTCTTAGCAAAGACACTAGAGAGGTTTCCCATTTCCTCTTCCAGCTCATTTTACAGATGAGGAAATTAAGGCAAACAGAGTAAAATGACTTGTTCAGGGTCACACAGCAACTAAGTGCCTGAGGCCAGATTTGAACTCAGGAGGATGGGTCTTTCTGACTTCAGGCCTGGTACTCTATCTCTACTGTGTCACCTAGCTGCCCTGCAATTGATATAAGCACCTCTAAATTTGGTGCCCTAGGGCAAAGCCCTAATTGGACTGCCTTAGGTCCATCTCTGGAAATCTCTTTGAAATTCAGTTACAGTACACAATTATGCAAAGAACCAAGGACCTTCCAATTTCTCCCCAGTCTTAAGTCATTTACCGCTGTTTTCATCTATGTCCTTATGCTGCTTTCACATTTGGTCACCCTGACTTCCCAATCAGATTGGAAGCTTCCCAAAAGTAGCAGTTATATCTTTTGTTTATCTTTTCTATCTGCCCATAGCACCCCATACAGATTTGGATGCATGATGGGCCTACATTCAATAGTGGTCACCAATTGTGACCATACCAGTACATAATAGTGATGATGAAACTCACTGGAGGCATTTGATTGGAGAGAGTTACAGATATACTTTAACCATTGGTTCACACTGCTTTTGTATCAGGACCAGGTGGCCAATGATACAGACAGGGGGTTATGAAGACTCAAGGTCTGGGTCATTAAATACAGGATTGTGAAGTCACTGTTAAGTCAGGTAACAGTGCAGGAGAAAAGATACTTTTCTCAGCACAAAAGTCTGAGGCAAAGCCTGAAAAATCTCTGGGGCCAAAAATCTTAACAGAGTAGGGCCTGTAGTCATCTCAGGCAGACGTAGAAAAGCACAGGCCCTGGTTTTAGCATCAGAGGAACAAGTTTTAAATTCTAACTCTGCTGCTTCTTACTAGTGTGACCTTGGGTAAGGAACTCTCTGAGCCTTTACTTTAAATAAGGGGGTTGGACCAGGTGACCTCTAAGGTCAGTCTCTTACAATTCTAAAATCCCATGGCCCTAGTTCTGAAGCAATAGAAACTCTGCTAACATGGAATATGTGGGCTGTTTGCCTTTTATGCAGGAACAACTGAGGCCTTCCTTTCTGCCGCAGCCTTGTCCTGCCTGGTCTGCCTCTTTAGATTTAAAGGACCCTCTCTGCTCTCCGGCCAGAATCCCTGTCAGTTTCCTCTGGATGGAGTAGCTCCAAGCTAACTAACAGGGGAATTCAGATCCAGAAGCCCTGGGGTGGGCGTGGGGGGGAGGTTAACTGTCACCCTGTGGGTCAGGGGAAAGAGAGGGCCTGACAGTTACTTCCCTAGTAAGACACCAGTATGCTCTCTCTTGTCTCAAGAAAAAGACCTGGCTTTAAGCTGAAATGTTTTCTCCTATAAAGTGCTTGGGCTGTCAGAGCTCAGAGCTTAATTAGGTGATGACAGAGAAAAAATGCTTTTTTTTTTAAAGCCAAGGTTTAATATGGGATGTTTAATTGTATTCAGCTATTTCAAAGGAATTGGTCTTCCTGGGGAATTTTCCAGGCCTCCCTGGAAAAAAATTTATGCGTGCCTTTCTCCTGCTCCAATATGGAGCATTCAATTGGAGACCCTCACTGAATCAGCATCATCCTAGCAATGTCTGATGAAAGAAATGATCCATTTTACCTGTAGCAGGGAGGGGCATACAGAAACACTACACAGAGAAAAGAGATCATGTTAATTGACTATACTGATGAAACATGACTCAGCTCTAAGAAAGGTGGCAAGATATGGTATGGTATGGTATAGTCTGGCATGGTGTGGCCTGGTGTGGTATGGTGCAATATGACATGGTATGGTATGGTATGGTATGGTATGGTGTGGTGTGGTGTGGTGTGGTATGGTGTGGTATGGTGTGGTATGGTGTGGTATGGTGTGGTATGGTATGGTGGTATGGTGGTATGGTATGGTGTGGTTGTGGTTGTGGTGTGTGTGGTGTGGTGTGGTGTGGTGTGGTGTGGTGTGGTGTGGTGTGGTGTGGTTGTGTGTGGTGTGGTATGGTATGGTATGGTGTGGTATGGTGTGGTATGGTATGGTATGGTATGGTATGGTATGGTATGGTATGGTAAGGTGTGGTGTAGTGTGGTATGGTATGTTGGAAAAGTATACTGGATGTCACATTTAAAGACTTGGGCTTAAAACCCAACTTGCCACAGGTATATAGATAAATCCACTAAAGTGGGCAGCACAGAATCAGATTTAGAATTGGAATCACCAGAGACCATGAAGAAGATGAGGCTGAAAGTAGTTAAGAGACTTGCCCAGGGTCAGTAGCTATTAAGTATCTGAGGCAAGATCTGAACTCAGCTACAGTAGATAGAGCACCAGGCCTGGGGTCAGGAAGATTAATTTTCCTGAATTCAAACCTGGCCTCAGACACTTACTGGTTGTGTGACCCTGGGCAAGTCACTTAACTTTATCTCATTTTCCTCATCTGTAAAATGAGTTGGAGAAGGAAATTGCAAACCACTACAGTATCTTTGTCAAGAAAACCCCAAATGGGGTCACTAAAAGTCAGATATGACTGAAACAACATCAACCGTAACCTAAGTCCAAATTTGGGCTTTAACCACTAATATGTTAATGGAGAGAGGACAAGAGAGCTAAGAAACATTGTACACAAAGAACTGACTCTGGAATTCCTGGAACATCGGAGCTAAAATCCCCTCCTTTTGCAGATGAGCAAATGGAGGCCTAAGAGGAGAAGTGAGGTACCCAAAGTCACACACAGGTAGGAGCAGAACTGGTACCATGACTCCTCCAGGTTTCCTGCCTCAGCGAGTTTTCACTCCACACTACCTATTGTTTTAGGTTCACCATGCCTGAAGTGAACTAGGCTACGACCTTGACCAAATCATTTTCTCTTTCTCAGACTCATTTTCCTTGGCCATACAATTTGGGGGGGGGGTGACCAGAAGACCTCTAAGACCCCTTTTAGCTCTAAGACTATGATTCCTGAATATGCATTTGCATATATACATATACATATATAATTTGCATGTATATGATAGAATCTATATCTGGTGTAGGGATAAGCATCCCCCAAAAAATCAAATTCCACCCCAGTTATGCCATCTAATGAGATCAGAGTTTATATGAGCTCTAAGATAGAAGAGCAGGACATCTCTGAGTAAAGTAGGGAGTAAGAGTAGTTTGTCTTAGGTACTTCCAGATGGCACAGTGGATAGCAGGCTGAGCTTGGAGTCAGAAGTGAGTTCAAATCTAACCTCAGATTGGACTTACTATCTGTAACCTAGGCCAGTCACTTAGCCTCTGTCTGCCTCAGTTTTCTAATATGTACAATAGAGATAATAATAATAGCACTGAACTCCCAATTCATTGTGAGGATTAAATGAAATAATATTTGTGAAGAGCTTAGCACACAGTAAGCACACAGTAAGCACAATATAAATGCTTGTTTCCTTTCCTCCTGCCTGCACACCCAAATGCCCCTACCCCTGCTAGCCAATTACCCTGGGCCTCTCCTTTATGGTTAGGACCCCTCATGCTATCTCCCCAGCCACTCAAGAATCATCCTTCATCAAAGAAGACGCATAGCAGAAAGAGCCTGGACTTGAAGTCAGAAGACCTTGCTTTGAGCCCAGGCTCAGCCACATGGCCATTGATATCACTTCTCCTGAAGGTTAATTTGCCTTTCTGTAAAATGATAGAAATATTTATATTACCTGCCTTACAGAGTTGCTATAAACACAGTGCTTCGTGAATTGTAAACCACAACCTACATGAAAGTTGCTACTGTTACTATTGACTCTACTGTGCCTTCCCACCACTAAAATTTCCCTGTCCCTCACCTCATCCCCTAGTAAACTAAATTGGTCAAATATGCTAATGAGGTAGCTAGTGGCACAGTGGATAGAATGGTAGGCCTAGATTCAGGAAGACTTGAGTTCAAAACATGCCTCTAACAGTTACTTACCTGAGTAACCCCTGGACAAGTCATTTAAACTCTGCCTCAACTTCCTCGTGAGCAAAATGGGGATAATACCTCCCATGGTTTTGTGAATTAGAGCACTTTGCAAACCTTAAAGTTTTATATAAATTCTATCATTATTGAGAGAAGACAAAATGTCTAAGATATAAATATAAATACATGTATATATACATATACATATAGGTCTCTAAATATATGTAATAGACAGATACATATAGATATATAGAGATAGAAACAGAGATATGAATGATGAGAATAACAGAATGTCAGAGTGAAAGGGATTCTAGTGATCATCATTCAGTGGCCATCCATTAGATGCCATCATCCACCATTCAATCCCCTCATTTTGAAGATGGGTAAAATGAAGTCCAGAGAAGTGACTTGCTCAAAGACCCACAAATAGTAGGAGAGCTGGTACTTAATTCTCCTGCAGTGTGCTGTCTACTCTGTCCTAATGGTAGGAAGTTTAAGATGTGTAGGAAGGGACATGGCAGTTGTTTGGTGAAAGACATGTTTAGATAGTCAGGGTGACTATTCTGTCTCTGTCTCGCCCCAGTAAGTCCTGCAATTGCCCCTTCCCTACTGTCCACATTTGGCTCTAGTACATGCTTAGTGTTTGTGTTGGGTAGGTGAATGACAGGTGTTCAATACACTGAACACTTATCAAATAGATTGTGCTAATGCTGTACTTGTAACAATCAATACACAAATTAGCCAGGGGGAGAATTTCATCCAGTCATTTCTTGCCTCCCTTCCCACCTTCGCTGCCAGGGCTCACCAGCCAGACTTCACTTAGATGACTGACCCACAGCGTCCTAATGAAGATTTGCAACAGACATGGCATGAACTGTCAACAAATGTGTCCAGTGCAGTGTTTGGAAGGACGAATCAGGTATTGCCACAGCTTCCAGGAGAACTGGATGAACTCAGACTCCCAGTTTTATAGCAAAGTGGTTGAACTAAGGGTCATTGGTCTGTGTGGTGTCTGGCTTTACACCCAACCAATCCAAAGCTGATTGTGTCTCAAAGGAAAAGCAAACAAGAGGCTGAGATGGCTAACCTGAAATTCTTCGCTGAGAATCATCCGAGAGAGAGCCCCTGGAAGATCGAGCACCTGCCTGACAGCACATCTCCTTTAGATGCCACGCTGGTATCAATATATAAGCAATATGATATTAGCACATGATTGTTTGAAGATAGAGATAGATATATGCAGACATATATACCTATACACATATAATGTGTGCATGTAATACAATCACATATGTATTACATATGTGTTATATACTCTGTGCGTGTGTGTGTGTGTGTGTGTGTGTACACATATGAGGAAACTGAAGTTCATTGACTTGCTAGAATGTAAGTTCCTTGAAATCAGGGACTGTTAATTCTTGTCTTTGTATCCCCAGCATTTAGCAAAGTGCCAGGTACAATGCTAACTGATTGATTTGTTCAATTGATGATTAATTGGCCAACATCACACAGATGTGCCACAAAGATG